TGGAACAAGTAACAGAAGCTCACTCCATTACGCGGCACTAGGGATTCAAACCGCCAAACTTTGGATCTACAAGCTCAGCGTCTTAGCCAATGAGCCACCTCCTCTACTGGTACCATTAAAGAAATTCAGGGAGTCAAAAGCTCAGATCTGGAATAACAGAATAAAAGAGTTGGAAGGGACCTTGGAGGTCTTCAAATCCAACCTGATGCTCAAGCAGGAAACTCTATATTATTTCAGGCAAATCCTTGTCCAATCACTTCTTAAACCCCCCCAGTGTTGGAGCACCCAAAGCTTATGGAGCCAAGCCATGGATTGGTGGATTGGAAATTCTGGACTGATGGCAAGTTTAAGGAAAGCATCAACACTTTGGAGAACAGTACCAAGCAATGGCTGAATGGGGAGCAACGTTTCTTTTAGACCAGGGGTGTGAACTCAAGGCCCAGGGGCCGGATTCGGCCCGCAGGGCACTTATATGTGGCCCGCGGGGCCGCCCTGGAAACAGCAAAGGACCGGCCTACGGTGCTTCTGCCAGCAAAAATGATCTTCTGAATTCTATTTTCGGCTGCCAGGGCCTCCGCATGCAGCCCTCCCAAGCTCAATTTTCCTTGATGGAGGGTTGCAGGAGGCCCTGGGAGCCAAAAACGGAGCTCAGGGGCCCGTTTTTGCTGGCAGAACCCTTGGGCTACCACAGGGGCCCCCAACAGGATCGATGTCGAACTGGCCACGCCCACCCTGGCCACACACACCCCAGCCCCCTCGAAGTCAAACACAACCTTGATGCAGTCCTCAAGGAGTTTTACATCCCTGTTTTAGACAGAAAGTGCTTAAGAGGAACAGTTAGAAGGCATTGTGCAGCTATTTGTCAAATTCCCTTCTCAATGCCTTTTCTGTAATATTAATAAAGACAGAAGATCTGGCTGAGAAAAGGCTGTTACATCCTAAAGATGTTACCCATCAATAAACATACGATCTGGAAATGGCCTTAGAGACGGGAGACATTTAATACGATTTGTCTACGTTTTTTTCTGGCACTGTACGCTCTTTAGAAATGAATTCATGATTCTACCACATTATTCATGTTTTAATCATTTTTTTTATCGCTTAACTAGGAAGTGCTGCGTTGTAAAAGAAAAAAATGAAAAGAGAAACAACCGCACGTTGCAATGTCATCACGCATGCACCCGCCCTTTGAAAAGTTTGTTTTCTCACCCAGGCTTCCTTAAAAAGCATGAAGCAGAGTCTTGGTCCCGGCAAAACCTCTTTTATTTATACAACTGTAAATTCCTTTCATTCACAGGCAGCAAAGCTTGGCATACAGCCTTTCAGAGGAATATTTATCAACACGAACCTTATCTCGCTTGGAGAACTGCCAGATAACTAGTTTCCAAACTCAGGGCAAGGCAACACTTGGCACAGATTCTCTTATAGTCACAAACAGAACTTTCCACTCTTGAAAAGACCGAAGGGACAAATTGTTTCTTGCAAAAGCCCCCTTCCCGTTTGCTCCTCTTTTGTTTCCTCTGGGAGGGGCTAATCACCTCCAAGGTGTGGCTTTACTCCCAAGTCGATCCTGCTTTCTTAGTTGTTCTTGTCTTTGTGTAGCTCTGCGCATGCACACACTGGGAACAGGCTCCAGCTGTTCCTCTGCCTCACTGCTGTCTAGCTCCCACTCTGCCTCCGACGCAGAGCCCTCATCTGAGCTTTCCTCAGCCCCCAGGACTGGCCCATGTTCCTACCCAACCTCTTCACTGTCTGACTCTGCTGCCAGCTCCACTGGCTGCTGGCAGACCACAACAGTCTGTTACTCCCCCCCTGGAAATAAATTGGTAATGCAAAAGGTTTATTCTCAGATATGGGTATTCCTTCGCTTACA